AAAAAAAAAGCTACATCATCAAAAAGCAAATCCACATCTGAATTTAACGAATAAGGAAACGCCGCATGTGCCACGTCAATTTTTGGGTGCCACGTAGTGCATTTTTTAACGGTGCCGTGACGGTCCATTAAAATGTTGGGTTTTTTACAAGTTTTGAAAGGTGGAAGGTGTGAATAGGGAGAAAAAATTCCGAAAGGTGTTGACCGCGGAAAAGAAATAAATGGAGGGTGCAAATAGGGGCTTTGGCCGTTGGAAATTGTATGTCTTTCACATTGTCAAGTTGATGGGTTGGGGGTACCCCTTGTACTCCGTTTATTAATAAATAAATAATATTTTTTGCTGTTCAAAAAAAAAAGTAAGGAGGAAATTTAAAAGACTGTAAATTCATGGACCAGACTTGATATTCTTTTAAGTTGAGGGACCAAATTGACTACGTTCAAAAACCTAAAAAAGTCCAGTTGACAATATCTTTAACCTTTTTAAATTTGACTATTTTCTAATTAAGTAACGGAAAGAGAGGATGGAAAATTTGAAAAGGAAATTTTAAGATGAATCACGTGCTACAAATCATATAATTAAATTAATTGGTATATATAATATGATAAATTTAAAAAAATTAATTATTGAATAATATAAACTTTAATATTTAATATTTTAAATGATGTAACATAAATCATATTATTAATCTTAGATTTTAATCTCAAATTTTACTACATTTATCATTTTTTTAATTAAGATTAACTAATCAGGATTAAATTAATTACTCCCTCATTCATTTTAAATAAACTTAATTTTTTATTTAAGATGTTCAAATTTAATTATTTACTTTTTTTAAGATGTCATTTAATATGCTTATTCTTTTTTATTTTAAAAAAATAATTATAATATATATTAAATAAAAATTTTATTTAAATAATACTTAATTAAGAATAAATATAAAATTTTATTAATAAATTATTACACTTTTATTTTATTAAAAAATTAAATATACTAAAAATAACCAAAAAGAGTAATTCAAGTAATTAGAATTAATTAAGAGACCATATTATGATTAATTAAAGAAAGTAATTGGTTATTTATTTATTTATTTGGTTTTTCGGGTTTAGGACAATAAACTTGATCCCGACCCACAAACAAAGGCTCTATGAACA